GTGAAGATGAAAGAGGACAGTGATTACGAATAAATACATAGAGACATTTTTTCCTGGTCAACTTACAGGGCTTTTGTTAATCCCCTCGTATAAGTGTATATATATATATATATATATAAATAAAGCCTTCACTTTAATGCAAAAATAATGTATTACTTTTTACCAAAGCTTCGATTGAATCATTCGGGAATATTCACGTTAAAGCAGTTATCAAAATAAATCTTTTTTCGTTTTTACTTGAAAAGCTGTCGTTAATGTTAAATCGTTAACAGCAAATTTTAAATCATTAACAGATAATGTTAAATCGTTAACAGATAATGTTAAACGTTAAAAGTCTGCTGTTATAGCATAGTAAGCAGCCATTATAAAATTAACGTTTACGACAAGCTCGTGCGGTTTCAACTTTAACGATTTCATTTCGTTCTGATAACATGGCGTCGAAACGAAGCAAAATCATTTCGTTAAGTTTATTTCTCATAATAACAAAACGAAATGGTAATAATGTGAGGAACAGAACCAAAATACAAAATTATGGTGATTTCCTTCGAATGTTTGAATTTCGTTAAATTGAGGGACTTCGTAGTTTTACAGGCATATTCTCACTGTTACCGGTAAAGGAAATTTTGTTACTTTTTTTTAACACCCGAAATTGAATTTGGTATTCTGGCGAACTGGTTACAATGTTTGAAAAAAATTTGGCAGCACTGCTTTTTTCGTCCATGTCAAATTACATTTGTCAGTTGATAAAGTAAAAAAGAAAAATGGAAGAGGGTGCACAAAAAAATTAAAAAGTTTTTTTAATTTGTTTATTAAATCATAAATATTTGAACCTAATTATGGAAAATATGCCTGGACAACAAAAAAAGCTGAATGAAAACTTTATCTTAACAATAAAAGTGCTATTTTATAATCTCGAAAACTTCTTAAAATACGGCCTTTTGCATTTTTTTCTTCATCTTCAATGAATTCCAGGCCTAAAATATGCCTACCCATTTTGGTTTTTTATTTTTTCTCAAACTTACAACACAAAATCAAACAGCAGATATTTTTGTTACCTCCTATTTCGCTGGTAACAAAATTTACAGGGTAACAGTGAGCTCAGAATACGAAATGGTAACAAAATTTATTGAATGGTAAATTTTAATACCTAAGTAAATTTTGTTACCTCAACAGAATAGGCCTGTTAGTGTTAATTTTAAATTTTATGAAACTTATTATTTAAATTGGAGAGGTCAAAAGTCTACTTAGCAAAGCGCCAGTGATTAATTTCAGTACTACAGTTGTTTATGGAAAATATTGTTTGAGTAATTAGAAAAGTTTGTCAAACATCTGCGAACGTGACCAAAAGTACTTGGATGCATACTCAAATATATACTCGTATATGTATGTATATATGTATGTATTTATATGTACATGCATCCACATATTTATTTACAAACATAATTCATTGACTGACGCAAATATTTACAAAAATTAGTTACATTTGTATTCAGCATTTGAACGGAAATATATTTTACAACACTCATACATACGAGTATTTTCAATATTTTATTTCACGGTAATTTATACCAACTGTTGTACGCTGCCGGCAGTTTCTAAAATGTATAACTGTCGCGCTACCAAACCAAAGCTAATTAAAATCATATCATTTATATTTAAATAAATAGAAGGCAATTTAACAAATACATATAATATATGTACTTTTTTGAATGTATATACATTTATATGTATTTATATATATGTATGTGTGTATGTAACTTTATGTGTACCACTTTGTAAAAGGATATGCCATGACTAATTATGGCTGCGGCGGCATGCCGGTTGGTTGCATACAAGTTCAGTTGTTGTTGAAATGTTGCACAATCCTAAACCGGTTTTTTTTTTTCATAATCCGAGCACTCGGTGAACTTCGTAAACAAAAGAGTAGTACTTTAGCTACAACTGGTGGAAAACCAATATGGCGGCTTTACATATAATGCGATTTGGCAACATATGCTAATTGCTGCGGACTGTTTGTACTCGCAGTCTGTTTTAGTGGCGGTAATTTTTGCTAGTAAAAAGGATTTTGTATCCATGTGGAATATGAACACAACACTCTCCGCGGCCGCGGGGCATATCTACTTCAATATCAGTGGTTTCGAAAAAGTTCCTCTGAACGTTATTGTATGTTGCTGGGCACCCGGATATTGTAGGAGCCACCAATGATATTACTTCTGGTGCCAAAAACGATGACCTGGGAACCGAGACCAGGATCTGAAGCGAATTTCGATACGAGAGTCGTGTTCTATCGGTAGTGAAGGTTTTCATTTCAGAACCTATTGACATGGGTCTACCTTCTAGAGCAATGTTGTACGTGATATATCACTGTGGAACGTAGTTTCCAGCGCTAAGAAAGGTTTTTGTTTTTTGATTTGGTTGTTCGTCGAGGTCGCGGATGATTTCGTACTTTCCTACTTGAAACCAATTCAAATGTGAGCCTTGGCATCCAAGACAGAATCAGTCTAGCTAATTGGCGCTACCTCAAACTGAGTAGGCAATTGAAAAGTGCAGTCCTCTCTCGACGAACACAGCTCGAACTCTACAAATTCACAAGTCTTCTTCATTCCAATTCTTCTCTATGGTGTGGAGTTCTGGACGATGACGGCATTCGATGAGTCGGCAGAAAGAGTTTTCGAGAGAAAGATATTATGAAAGAATTACGGTCCACTTTGCAGAATCGACGGCAAATAAGAAGAAAGGGGCTATACTGTTATCTGCAGTGCTCGCTGTTGTATGCAGTGATCGAAGAGGAATTGCACTCCGTTGGTGAAATTCGTTTGCGACAGACTTGGCTTCATTTGGTGTGCCCAACTGCCGCCAAATATCTAAAATAACCAACGACTGGCACACGGCTATAAAGTAGGAGAATAAGAAGAACCACGTGCTATTATCAGCTGGGCCATAGATTCGAGCCCAAGTCAGCGGAGGTTGGGTTAGGTAAATTGGCTTTTATCCTAGGACAGCTCATTTAGTCCTTCAAATAGAGCGATTGTAACACCATTGAGAGTCTCAATGACCCTCAGCAATGAGCAATCGACGTCCACATCTTTGCTCTTGATATTTCGCTCAAGCTCCAGTAGTTTGCCGCCACGAGTGGCATCACCGTACTCCTTCAAAGTTAACAGTTTTGATGCAAACTCTTTATAGAGGCGGACGCTCAAAATCTTTCGCGAAGACGAGATAGGAAGGCAGCACCACTTCCTTGTAAGATCGTCCATCATCTCATTATACTGGATATTACGGCGTCCAGTCAACTATGCCAGGTTAAGCCACCATACAATTCCCTACTGTTCCGCGTTTATTAGCGTAATGTAGAAAACTGACAATCTCTAATCGCTCTGAAAAAGATTACAGTGACCCGATAGACGAGAGGATTGGCCAATTTAAAGCTCCCTTGTGAAATTCCGCTTACTCTAATATCTTATTCTGTTGCATTTGGTATCCGAGTGGTTTCAGTCCGCGATAACTAACCTAAAATCAGTGAAGATTACAGATAGAATCTTCTTAATATATTAGTGGGACCATTGTATATTAGTTTCCATTTCCATCATATTTATTAAACGGTGGGTAATCGAACCCAAGTCAGTCTAATATTCAACAATTTTTTTTTTTTATTTATTAATGTGAATCGCGCATCGGCTGATACCTTTGACCACGTATTTTAGCAGTTTTAATTAGCAGGAAGCTGAAAAAATAGAGGAGGCCAGAAATCGCCTAAGCAAAATTGTGTGAGAAACGTCATTCTGCTTGCGAAAAAAATATCATAGGTAAACAACGCCAATGGGCTTGGTGTTCACACATATTCAATTAGTAACTTAATAATACCTTCAAAGTCAATGGTCTTTCTCCTCCCATAAATTCAATATTGTAAGCACCTTTGCCAAATTCACGTTTTGCCTATTTCTTTTAACTTTCACTGCTGTTCAAAATTAGTTTGAACATTCATTCTCTAATAACGTTCGTTCGCAATTAGTTTCTAACTTTAATAAGTATTTTCTCTTCAGTTCTATATACAATACTTCTTGCATGCTTGAGCAATTTTACAATCAGTTGAGAGCAATTATAAGCTAGGAGTTTCTTCAGTTTTTATTATACTCATTTTGATGGAATTATAGCTTTAACTATTGATTAGCTCTCAATTAGCTAATTGGATGCCTGTGTGAACAGTTTCTTTCAGCAAAATTTATGCAAAAGTATAATGAAATATGATAAAGGAAACTCTTGATATGATAAAGAAGAAGTGCTCTATTTTATATCTTCTAAAATTCTTGGAAAAATATGGGTTTGGAGAAACCGATTGAACTGGCAACAATGGCAATTTGCATATAATTAATCTTTTTTCAAGCGACACTTATTTGTGGCATAATATATGTACAAATTTACATTAAGCATGTGCATATGCGATTATATAATATATACATTCATATATGCATGTACAAGTTTTCACAAAAAAGTAAAAAAAAAAATTACTTCCCTTAAAGGCGATGCGTTTTGACGGCCCGCTGAATGACGTATCACTCCAGTAGTGCATTCAACCGTTAAAATTGCTCACTAAAACGTATTGAAGATCAAAAAAATTTAATTTGAAAATTGTGTCATACCTTTTCTAGAAAAAAAAACGCCCGAAAATCAAAGTCAAAATTTTAGCAAATACACCGTTGATTTTATCAAGCATCAAATTCGGAAACATTTTTGCAACATTTTTTTTTGTCTACACAATAACTTAGCTTGTGGGCCGCAGTTTTTTTGCGCATGCAAATTTTCTATTTTTCTCTCTCTCTTATTTACTTGATTTCACATTTTCAACTGACAAGTAATCAAATGCAAATACGCCCACAAATTTCAATATAGCTCAGTATCAACAAAGTAAAGTGTATGTATGTATGTATGCATGTATGTATATATGTGGGTGTGTGTGTGGTAAATGTAAATTATTTGAATTGAAAGTAATACAAACTTACGCCTTAAATCCCTCGGATCGGAGTTGTTGCTGCGCGGACTTTCACCCTTTTCACCGTTGTCGTAATCATTTGATCCCTCCATCGACTCGTGCGATGTGCAAGTGGGACTCGCCGAATCTGTACGAAATGAATCGTTGCCATTGAAGAGATTCTATTGAGAAATATTTGAAATTACTTTATATGAATTTAGTGTCAAGCATTAAAAGTCTGTGGTGATAAGTTGAAGTAAGCAAAAATATTTTAAATTTAAACTTCGGTCCAACTAGGGCTGGATGCGCCCCATTTTGATGCACAATCGTAAGACCTCAATATTCATACTATAAAATCTTATCATGAACGACTTTTATCCCGGCTTCCATGGTGCTATGGCGAATTTGGGAGAAAACTGGGCGCTCACAGAGGACAACTGCTTCTTTATTCCCTTCTAGCTCGCAGCTGCTGCTACGGTTGTTATACTCTCACAGACTCTTTGTAGATCACGGACCTACAGAAACAGAGCTGTAAGCTTAAATATTTTTACTTTTCCTAGACCCATTTAAATGGTCGTTTACTCTTGAACTATCATACTTGCACCTAATCTGAAACAACTTAATTAATTTGTCAACTTTTTCCCAACCTAAAGTTCCTATGGGCGGAAACTAAGATTTTGGAGATGGGCCTTAAACCTTCCTACAATTATGATACCCGCCAGGTTATCCAACTACATGATTGTTTTCTGTATCTTTCTGTTCTGCTACTCAGGTTCTTTCTATGTTAAACCAAGTACTTCCACTTGGAAGCAGAATTTGGTAGATGCAAAGAGAGAAATATACTCATACTGAAGTCCTAGGAGTATATCTCTTCCCTCTGCAGCATGGTCGTAATTGAAAAGGACTTTTGGACAGTTGTGTTCCTAATGACGGACCAACAAACTACTGGCACCCCATGTAAGCAGAATGGACATTAGTAGCTGTGACGCATACAGCATGTGCAGTGAGACGTTAGAACATTTTCTCTGTTCCTGTCTGGCCTGAGTTCTAGACTCATCTAAGATTACTCGGAGCTTCGCAGTTCAAAGCACTAAAGCAGATATCAAAATTGAATATTAAGACGATATCCGACGATTACTTTAGATCGCAATAAAATGGGCCTCTATCTGATCTGCAAAGGCCCAATGGGTCTATAAAAGCCACGTCAGCCGGTTAGTACAACTAAATCTAATTTATCTAACCTGTTAACGTATCGGACAGTACAAGAAAATTGGTTTCATTTATCAAGAAACTTCGACATGTGCACCTGAGCTCATGTTTGATGATAAGGTGGGCAGGGGAGCTGCAAGACTTCAAAAAAGACTCACTTTCAGATTCCTGTTAGTTTTATTTTCGTGATACTCGTATATGTTGCCATTAATCAGCCGGTGCAGCCAATGCTTATGAGCATGAGATTCGTCGCAAAGTACAGTATTTACTCTGACAATCAGGTGGCTCTTAGGTGATTTAGAGTACGCTCAAAAATTGTTATAGAATGGTTGTTTTTCCTCTCTGTACCGTAAACTTATTCGGGTTGTAGCGAAGACGCTGCAGGGATGTGCAGCATCTATGAATTTATGTGACCGAATGGGTATTATTGTGATCATCTCTCAGCAATCCCGAAGTGAGGTTGTGCGGTTTTAATGGTGCAGAGTGAGTTATGGAAACTCCGGCAGTTTTCCTTCGAAACTGAGGATATAATCAACGATGCACATCGTCTGATATAGCAAGTCCAACAATGAGAGTCGGGATCTAATACACTTCCTAAGTCATATCGTCCGTATGGACAAAAATACTACAATATTTAAAATTTTCGAAGCAGCACCTGCTGGTGGAAGCAGAGAGAGAAGGGCCTGAACTCTGCTTGTAAGATGAGGTGAAGAGCGACTTGGTTTCACTTGCTATTAAATTGAAGGAAAAGAGGCTCAGGGTCTTTTCAGCCACTAACTGTTGCAGCATCTATTAGAGATGGTTATGTAATCAGAAATTCATCTCTTTTTGCCTATTTTGAAGCAAAGAGAGGTTAAGCAACCTGTTGTCGAGGGTATCAATAGTGCTAGGCATCCTGTTTACTTTACTGATAAATCTTTTTACACGAAGTCCTCTTCTTTCGACATTATAGATTGGCATACTAAACAAATTACGCTCCAACTCACCTGATCCAATGATATGCCAATATATTTGGGTGGTGAAAACGCCGACGGCAATTGAAAATTCGACAACACCGACGGCTTGCCAAGTCCACGATCACTGGCGAAATAACTCGCTGGACCGCCATTTGCCGCAAGCATGCCATGATTGAGCGTCTGTAGCAGGTGTGGATGGAAACTGTGCAGCAGGTGTGTGCCATAGCTACCGACAAGTGACATATTGTGGAGATCTTTGGCGTCTGGTAACTGCAATGAAATGGTGTGTGTAAAGTGAAAAAATTTAATATTTTTTAAATAATTTTATATTATATATTTTTAAATATAAATAATTATGTATACATACATTTATTGTTAGTAGAATATGTGAGTAATATTTTGAAGAAAGTAAATGTGAAAAAAATATTAAATTAGGAAGGAAGTGTGCGGTGTGCCTTTTGCTGTTGATTTGAAATTGTTTCCTGCTGTTTTATCCTTTTGTTACGGTCACTTTAGTATTGTAAATAAACTAGCACGTTTGCTGCACATTTTATTTTTCCTTCTTATTCTCTTCATTTTTTATTTTTCTTTTCTTTCTTTTTTGTTGATATTTTTTGATATTTTTATATTTTTTTTCTTTTTTGACATGAAAATATTTGCAATATCCTTGGAAAATATTATTTTTGTATGCATAACATCAAGTTCAGTTGTTTATTGGCATATTTCTACTATCCGGTGTAATGACACGTTAAGCTGGGGTCAGTCGCCTTGTCTTCCTCATCTCATATGAAATTATGTTGCTAATATTCCTGCCAAGACTTTGTTGTGGGTCAGTTGTGACCATTTGTGGTCTTTGGCAGTTGGGTGATTGCTTGAAGTGGAAATTTTATTACAGTTGAAGTAATGGGTTGAGAGGGTTTTTTGTACATAAGTAAATACATACATACATATCTATATGTAAATATTTTATGTGTGAAATCAAATTGTGCAGAAAAGCTGTCAATGTCGCAAGGATAATACGTGTGCCTTTGTTGGGCTTTATGGAAATGTTTTAACGTACTTTCATTTTTGTTAAGAATTTGATTGTGTTTGAAATGGAAAATGGCTTAGAAATAGAAAAAATAATAATAAAAATAAATATATAAAATAAAACAGTAACGAAGAGCTGTCTTCGACTATGCCGGAATTCTTATACCATTCACGACTATGTCAAATTTATGGTATTTCTTTTCAGGAATAAATAAATAAATATATATCTGTACAAATCGATTGTGTGGGACTATACGATATAGTCTCCGATTTTAATGATTTTCAGTGAGAATGTTTATTTGTTTTTTTGATGGAGTGTTTTGACAAAGCTTCGTATCTGAATAAATTGGTTATGAGGTCCGATCTAGTTAGGCAAAGCGTTTAAATTTAAGAATATATCTGTGTAATAAGTTTTGTTGAAATATCACAAAAACTGAGGAACTTCTTTTTGGGTCGCTTGTTTTAACTGATGATGGTGTTTTCAGAGGTATCGAGGGTTGAAAATTCTCTAGAAGGCCTTGGAGCACTATTTTTAAAAAATATTCAACATGTACTTCAGAGATGATTAGAGAAAACTCAATAACCTCAATATTAAAAAATGGCAACATGATTGATTTTTCCAATTACATTGCACTTTCAAAACCATCCGTATTTTCACTTGAGGCCGCTCGTGTTTTTAAGACACTTTAATATGGCAATTTAAATGTAAACGCCTCAACCAGTGGTTTTCATATCGCATAATAAATTCTCCAAATGCATTCATAGAACTCATCACATACCTCTTTTGTAGACTTACGAAAAGAAGCAGAGAAAACACAGAGGATAAGGACGGCCGTAACCGTTGTGGTGCCCATTTGTATACGCTATTTGCAAAAACATCGAGCGTGGACCCCAAATGATCGGCAGCGCACCCAGACTGAGAGATAGTTACTAATTTAACACTGTGGGTTAGGGTTACAAGAATTTAGCCGCAGTAAGGCATACCTGTCGTAAGTGGGGATCCAAACTCAATAGCTTCCGCGACAATCGGGTCTTTATACTAGAACGATCCGCATTTTAACCGGCCAAGGACGGTCACTCCCGCCACATTCCCAAAAAGCTACTTTTGGGGAATATTTTTATGGTTAGGCAGGGTGTAAATACCCCCATAGTTAGTCCTCATGTTAGCAGGTGTTCGTTATTGTTGTTGTTCTAGTTCATGTTTTTGATATTCCCAACTAGCAGCGACCGATGTTCCTTAGCGGCCCTGGTCAGAATATACACCACACATACACCACACATACACCACACGATTTTTTCATCTTAATGCATATATTATATGTACATACTTAAGTTTCCACTAAATTACATCGAACATATTCATAGCAGGCAAATTTCGAGAAAAGAGCACGTTAAATCCTTTATGAACAAATTTCACACATATTTTTCAAGAAATTTCAATGATAATTTGGCAAACAGTGTATTTTATAACTTTCTAAACTAAATCGGCAAAGTGGTAAGTAGTGCAAAGGCAAAGCGATAACACTCACACACACACTGACAGCCAGGCAGGGTGGTGAGCCTGCCATGAGCTGAGGGTGGGTGACACACATGATGTGTTTACTCCAGCCCACATGTTATCCAGCCGACGCTTCGATTTAGCATAAATGTCGTTATCCTGATGCTGTCATCAGCCGTCGCTATGACACACACACACTTACCACATGCATGCACATATGTATGTATGTTTGTGTGTGTAGCAGCGCTCGTGTGCTTACAACATATCATTTACACAAATGACGTGTGTAATTCTCTTGTTTTTGTGTTTTTTTTCTTACGCTACTGCGTATGTCGGGCTATGTTTTTTTTGTAATTTATGCGTGTGTGTTGAGTTGAAAATTTAAATATACTTGCTCATTGACAACAGTTTTGAAAATTGCTAGACTAAATGTCGCATAAATGCGCCGTAAATTATGCAAAGATTATTACTTTGTTAAATGGTTAAACGTTATTGGAAAATCCGCGACACATGACTGGCGCAAGTCGTGGAAAGAAAATCGTTATACTCGTGTGTATGTGTGTTTTGTACATACAGCTGTTGGTAGGTAATTAGAAACGTTGCTTATTTTTAACTAAATGATCTTTCTGTCCTTTAAAGCAGGCATTTTATTAATTTATTTATTTAAATTTTTACAAAAACTTAAAATCATATTCTAAGCAGTTTATTCAAAATTCATGTTCAGATATTTTTTTTCAACAAAACCCTGTGAAATCCATGTATTGAGTGCCATTCCTAATTGGAAACGGAATAATAACTTTACTTTTACTAAGTTTTTTGGTTGCATAAGGCTTCTGCCACAACTCTGCCTCACCTCACCGATTTCGCATTGATCTTATGAAATTTCGACAGCGCGCCACTAATATTGCTTGCCATCCGATTCTGACTTCCTCAAAAAAGACATCCATTTTTAGGATTATTTTAACACTAACGACTCTTTTAAAGTCACCCCAGAGGATTCAAGCCTGGAGTGGATGATGGCCATCATTAAACATTGATGGAATTTTCGACAAAAAGTTCTATCGTCAACTTTTCGGTATGATTTGGATCGTTATCCCGTTGAACTTTCCATATAACAGACAAATTCGCCTCAACCCAAGGCATCATGAGATTTTCTAGTATGACGACATATTTCGCCTTGTTCAAAATGCTCTTTATCCCATAGAGTGGACCAATATCATTAAAGGGAAAAACATCCCCATATCATTATTGATCCCCCACTACGTTTCAATACGCGTGAAACATAACGCGGAATAAATTCCGACTATCTTTCTATTACTTTCGTTTCATAGATCTAAGCGACATATGTACTTCAACTGGCTTAGGACTCATTATCAATGAGAATGGACAAAGTCTACAAATTGTTTTCTTTGGATTTTTGGGCAGAAGCGGTTTCTTGCGTGCGGCTTTTCCATGAAGCCCGGATTCGACAAAACGCCGTGAAATTGTTCTCTTCGGTGTTTGAACAGTGAATTTATTTTGAATTTCACGTTGAATGTCCCAGGAACTCTTTTTGGATCTCTTTGTGAGGTCACTGGTATCCTGTAGTATATTGCTGTTGAAGTTTTTCTGAACCTTTTTTCGTGCCACATTTGTAAAAGTTTCAAAATTCTAGATAAACTTTAAGACATTAAAAGTTACAATTTTTTCGGGTTATTTGACTTGCTCCGCAATTTGACTGTATGACTTTCTAGCTCTACGAAGGTCAAAAAAGCGCTGCGTAATGCAGGTGGATAGCTGTTGCTTTTTCCCATTACAGTTTTTGAGATACAAATTTTCGCTAATTTGAGTAGTAAATGGAGTAACAAAAACAATGCAAGTGTCGTTTTTAAGAAAATATAACGGTAAATTCGCAAATTTTACGATAATGCTCAACATGCCCTTACAAAAAGAGAGCGTTTCTATTTAGTTGTCAACCGCCGTATGTATGCAAAAATTAAAGATCACAATGAGTTCGGCCCAGAATAATTGAACTGCCATTTTCATTTTTCTTTTCCGAATAATAAATTTCGGCTAAAATACTGATACAATTTGAATCTAGACCCTTCTATTTCTGGTCCTTACGAACGAGTGGAAGTATTTCGCTACTTATGCTTAAGCCAGCTGGTACTATATCGAATACTTTAAGAGCTGGAGTGTGTTCGTACATTCGGAAGACAGGTCTTAAACAAAATTGGCGCTTTATAAACGCTGAACCGATGTCTGCCGCGCCCCTCCTCCAATTTGTGGTGTGCGGGCTTGATATTCCCTGGCGAGCGGCTACTGCAATTAGAAAAATTAATTTTCTACAACTTTGGATGTTGGTCGAAAGACTTTTAACTCGCTAAACTAATATGTCAATGCCGTCGTACCTACTACGCTATCTCCTATACACAGAACACCATAAATCTTTTGACAACCCTTTCTAGCGATTATTCCGAAAAAACGACTCTGCGTTGGATTTCAAGGCAGACCTTGAACAGAATATCAAAATTATGACTGTCATCACTCGTTTGCCAGTTAGGTAAGACACGGAGGTTTGTATAACGTCGGAAGGTGTTTGGTCTGGTTTTCATTCACTACCAGAGCCATTCGTCTCATAGCTTATTGAGTCTTTAGAAAGCATAACTTACGCCGTGCGGGTTGAGGTCAATGGTATCAATATCATTGGCATATGACAGAAGTTGTAAATTTTTATAGAAGATTGCCTATTTACATCCATAGA